GCACTAGCGACACCCATAACGGTTTTTACAGTACTATATTGACGTGGTCTTATTGTATGCGGCGCTGCCACTTGTTATATCTCGGCCGCGGTGCAGTGTACTTGTGTCACTATCCTATCAAAAAAAGGCTGGTCGACTTTTTGCTCTCGTGCAGTGGGCGCCAAGCGGGCTCTGTGGCGGCAGGCGAAGCAGTGGACCTGCAGTGGGGACACGACAAAGCAGCACCCGATTCACCATTTCCAGTCGGGGAAGCATCATTCGCCGCATTGCATCGACGAACGGACTCTTGGGCTAGTGTTCTGCTAGCCCGCTCACAGGTTGCCTGTTCAGGGCGTTGGGCAGTCATCGTCCCACTGAAACCACGCACATCCCGAAGAGGGCCACCGTATTCATCCCAACAGCGGGCATACAGCGGGCATCCGCCCTGCAACGACAATCCACCCACGCACGCAGCTGTTCTGCATCGCGCTGCTTTCGGTTGGCAGAGCACGCCACTGCGAGAAGAGGCCGCAAGCAGGCGTGCAAGATGGTGAGAGTCCGCCCTGATTAAAGAGTGTAGGAGGTCCCTTCTGGGACCTGGAAACACGGCCGCCGCAAGACAGCTTGGCGCGGCAGGCTCTAAATTGCACGTTATACTGCACGAAGGCGCCTCGAAAAATGGCAAAATACACACTTTTTGTCCGTGCGCTCCCGCCATCACCCACCATGCGCCTAACCCGCGCCCCACGAGCCCTTTAAAAAAAAAGAAGATCCTCAAGGAGAGGCAACCGTATGCTTGAAAACTTCACCGGGTAGCAGCATATCGCGCCGCTACGTAAGGTGCACAATACTGCGGTATGGATACGCAGATCCACACTTCATTCGGCTGTGTGGGATGATGAGATCAAGCTTCGACAAGGTATCGATAACGCAACACGTTGGAACTCATGGTATTGATTGCTAGATAACCTTCTGCGGTATCAAACGCGTGTCAAGCAGGTCCTAATTGACCATGATAGAGAGCTGCAAGTTGATATCCTACTAGCTTCAGAGTGGGGGTTCATAGAACGAACGCATCGCTTTCTACAGCCGTTTGCCTCAGCTACGCTGCTTGCCGAGGGGGCACGATAGACACTCTCTCAATCCCTCTCGATAAGGGATGTTTTATTGCGGCAGTATGAGAAATACAAAGTTGGTGATAGTACTTCCTCTTATCTAGGAGCTTTACCATTATAACAGGCTACTGTTTTTGTGCAGGAGTTGTATAGTTCGGAAGAAACGCGAGAGTCCCACATGGTACACTGCATCGAAATGGGCTGGTTTATGCTTAACAAGTGCGCTGGCCGAAAGGACGGATTGACCGAGAACGATGGCCTCCGACTGCCAGTATAGGAATGTCGCCGCTTGTGAATGTATCCGTCATTGCCATCGTTGCCAGGAAAATGATAGCAGAGATTAATCGCGGTTGTGCACACTGTCGTCTGGACCATAGCTCTTTTGATTGTGACCGTTTAGAGACGGATGGTAATTTGTAATGCTCTGCCTGCAAAATTGTAGGTCAGTATTCGCAGGCGTTCGCAATTCATCAATGAACAAGATAACAAAAAAAAAACCCCCCTCCCCAAAAAATAGAAGAAAAAAGCGGTAGCCACACAGGCTTGAGTGGCATCGCCGAAGTAGTCTTCCATTCCGGAGGAGCAAGGATGTCCGCCCACAGGCGCTGTGCCACGAAGGACGGCCTCGTGGCAGGGCTGTTCACGCTGCGCCGTCCCAGTGGCAGGGACATCCCTAGAAAGAGGACAGCACCCTTGGAGGACATCCTCGCTCAGAGGCTGGCTCTACAAGTCCGTCCTCCACTATGCGATAGCCTTCGCACGCCAGCGGTTATCGGGGCTAGCATTCAATGGACATCCCAGCAGGAGGGCCATCATCAACTCAACTTATTTTCGTACGTTTCGCTGGTCGCTCTTCACCCCCAGGTCTCCTTTCCTCAACCGCCCATTGCGGTACAACATAAATTGCATCGGTCCCGTTCGATCTCACCCGGTCAAAACACGCTTCAGCCGCCAGTACTCGGTTCTTGCTACTAAAAAGTCCCATGTCTCTCCGCAGGTACTTGATCGCTAGTCGCTGCACCTCAGAAGGATCTTCCGCATCCGCCACAACATCCCGATCCACTATCCATTCGCCCTTTTCTAAAATCTTAAACGCAACCCGCACTTTTTCACCGTCTTCTGGCACCGCGGATCTAGCCTACGCTCGTTAGCAACGCAGAGCATCATCAATCACACCAACTTTCATACCTCGATAGTTTCCTCCGTCTAATTTCCCGTCGGTGCTTCCAATGGCCTGTCGGAGGCGGCCGGCAATGCCCTTGAAAACAGGGTGGTGGTATGTCCTCCGTTGGGGCCAGATGCTCCTCTTCCGAGTCAACCGCAATCCGTATCATGTATTTTAAACCGGTGTCTCCATCTTCTTCCGCACGTCCTTCGCCTGGTATTAATGGTACGTTCTCCAAAGGTTGGCGTCGCTCCGAAGCTCATCAATGTCTTGGCTTCCCCCACGCATATCTGTAGAATTCACAATTTGTTTCTCAGCCAAAAGCGCATGAGACAAAATATCCTTCTCCTCCGTGGCAGCTTTGATATCCGCCTCCAGGCGCTCTCGGCATACTTCCAGAAGGTCAATATTCTGTCGCAAGCGCATCTCCTTCTCCACGAGCTTGTTGTTAGTGGAGTGTTGTTGTTCTTTCGGTGACGCTATCGAGTCAACTTTCGCCTGTTCGTCTTCTGTGAGCGCTCTGACTGTAATTGACAGACCATGGATGGAGGAACGTAACCGCACTTCCTCTTCCTCCAATTGTCGAATGACCAAGCGCTTGTTGCGTTCTATCCCCTCTAGCCTGTTCAGCTCGTTCTGCTTTTCACTAAGCTGCGCCGATACCTGCAGCAGTCGTTCTGTCTCACTGACGTCGTCATCTTCAGTTGGCTGGTCAATGGTGGTGGTAACACGATCCAGCCGTATTTCTCCTCCTACATCCGCTCGAGACTGTTCCAGTTGCGTATTACGAGCATAGTGCTTTCGCTCATTGGCCGCGAGGCTCTCGAGTCGAATGACCTGTTCCACCTCCCGTTGCTTAAGCCTGTTTACGTTGTCTTAGAGATCCTTTTCAATCTCTGCAGATTCTGCCGCGCGGGCGGTGATAGCAGTCTCAAGCCCCGCTAACGTCTCCCTTTATTGTCTCTCCTTAGCTAGGAGGCTTTGTAGCCGTGCCTTAGTATCTTTAGTCTCTTTTTGCACAGCGCAGAGCTTATTCTGATATTCCATTTCCCGCGATCTAATTACTATTTGCGCACAAGTCTGTGGGGAGCGACCAATCGTTTCACTTGTGGGCTCCACGTCCATTCCTACGTTATAGACGCCTCGTGCTTTGGGCGCGGCTTGTATGACATTAGAAGTGATCAGAATTTTCTTTCCAAATAAATAAAGTAGGTGGAGTGTTGGATAAAAACTGATGCTAGTATTGCGTTCTGTCTTGGGATGGCAGCATGTAGCTTGTCTAGAAACATTAATGGTTTATCTCGTATATGATCGAAAACGAGTGGCCGTCCACATTCCTTCGCGGTCTTGCTATCTGCCATCACCTCATGCTCGTCCACATTAACAGCTTGGTTATTGGAAACGAGGCCAGCTGTTTCTATTACACCTGTGATAACAGAGATGCTTGACTTGATATCCTCGAAATGGAACTGGTCTGGTTTTCGTGCCGTTAACAGCAGCCGGCGCGCAATTTAGCGATTATGGTTACCCTGGAGCAGCTTTTCAATTTCAGTGGTTCTGAATCCAAGCTTGTGCGCGAAGAACGCGAAATCAAACAGCACCATCTCATCGACTCCGGCAGGCTTGTAGCCTACAACTATTTGCTCTCGCTCGGGAGGCATATCTTCGAAGTGGCGGCGAGCATAGAGCCATGTGGATCGTGTACCAGAGCCGTTATGAACAATGATACTTCCCCGGATGCCAAGGCGGGATAGTTCTACCGTAACGCAGAGCTCGATGCGTAGGTACGTCGTTTTTTTTCTTTGGCAGTCCACCAATTGTTCCGAGCACTGCGATAGCAGTCCCTGAAATGGCGACTCTTCAGAAACCAGTTCGAACGCCCCTTCAAAGCACTGAAGCCAGTCAATAGTAAACTTTCAAGTTGGAACTGCCTCGATATGCGTGGGGAGAGCTCCGTTTTCCAACGAGTTGAGACTCTTGCTGGCATTCGGCGGCCCAGCGCCGTACAGCGGCGTTTCTGAAGTCATTACGAGGGGATGGCGGAAGCCTTCCAATGATATTGACAAGCTTGGCTATTGTGGAGCTCGTCAAGCTGTCGCGCGTGCTCGGATCACGGTCGCGGTCGCAGAGAAGCAGTCGTGTTCGTCTTGCAAAGCTGAATGAGGCCTGAGCTACAGCACTCGAAGAGTGTCGCGGGTTTCTGACATAACAATCTTGATAGGGGTGTATTTTAATAGCGGTTATGACGTACCGTAATAACCGAAATTGGTGTCGCGGGGTTAGCTACATAACAATTTTAGCGGTTGCCAATTTTGGCTACTGCCTAAAGAGCCAGAAATAGCGGTTATGTGTCCCCCACCTTGTAACTAAAAGCGCTAGCGAGAAGCATTAGGTTATAAGCGGAAGGTAATGGCTCATCACAACAGCGGTCTCTGCTGGGAGTACAGTTGGGTTCGGGTTAACATGGATCCATAAAACGATGTTGTGGTGGCAGCCAAAATCGGCCTAAACATGACTAAATCTGAATTTCTTTTTAGCCTAGAGTGTGGACGCTAAACCTGTTCCTGACTGTACAGTAGGTACAGTAACACCTTGAATTGCAATGGATTTTTCATTCTGCTCTCCTCCTACGCCTCTTTCTACCCTCTTCTTCTCCGCCCTCGTGCTGACCGCCTCCCCACCCCTTATTGCGCGTTTTCTTGCCCTGATTCTTCCTCCTCGTGGTGGTGTGGCACTCCTTTGCCAGTTTTGTTGGAGCCATTCATGGCGCATCCTTCTCTTTCCAGGGTTAGCCTTCTATTTAGCAAGTATAAGTTCGGCGTGCATACATACAATCAATAATTCACATTTCACCTATAGTCGCCAACGAGGCCATGTGCATATGGCTACTCG